TTAATAAACATAACTATCTGTACTCATATTTCACAAGAAGAGGCAATTATACAATTAAATGATTAAATAATATCAGGTTCCTAACTAAAGGTTAGGATTCTAGTAAGAATAATTTAGTGTTTAATCATTTTAAAATCATTTTAGTCTTTTTCAGTTAATACAATTATGTGATTGAGTGGGGCTTTTAAACAGCTGAAACTATGGTATTCTTAATAATCCTAAAAATTACAGGGCTAAGGACCCTGTAGCATCCGTATTATTGCTTGGTTACAACACTGATATGATTGCTTTTTTAAATGAAGTATCTTTATGAGGTGAAAATGCCTTTTAAGAGAAATGATGTTTCTCAGCACATCTGAAACTATTTGCTAGGATATGAAATCTACATAAAACATTCTATGACTCTAAAAGTTATTTGTAAGTTTATTAACTTTCTTAATTGACCCTTGGTCTGCCCTCAAAAAGAGCTGGTCATATAATGGATAGCAGTTGCAGTTTCTCTACCAGAGAAAGCAAAAACAAGAAGGTAAAAGTGACTTGGTTCTCCTTTACTTCCCAACAGATCCCAGATGGATTTTTTGCCCATTTTTATGCCATTTGTGAACACATCAGCCCAGTCCTAGCCTGGGGCTTTCTGGGTCCTAGAAATTCTCTCTATGATTTATGTTGCTTCTTTAAGGTATGTTCAGTCATTGAATCATTTCTTTTTTTTCCTAAATCAAAATGCAGGTAAGGTTTTATTCCTTTGTTTTGCTTTTGTATTAATAGAAGAAAGAATATTATTTAAAAGTAAAGTTATAAAAGTCTTCTAAATTCAGTGTTTAAATGCCAGTATTATATTAGTGGCATTTTATAATACCACTGTTATTATAGTGGGCCAGTTTTTATAGATTTGGTACTTTATTCTGGGATAGATGCAACAAGTCCATTGACCATATCAATTCCTTATGCAGTGGATACATGGTCTTGTATGGTATTGCCACGTTACAGTCAAATTGGTATAATTGGTTTGCTCTTCATTTCTGGGCACTTTACAATTTAAAAACAAACAATATCTGTATTACACATATGGTAATATAGAATAACATTCTGGTTAAAGATAACATGAATGATAAAATCCAAGTTGTGAAAAATAGCATGGGAGTTTAAAGTTGTATCCCAATGTCAGCAGTTTAAGTTTGCCCAAACACAAATTACAGCTCATTGCAGAATTTTCTGGCTGGCAAAGTGCTCAGGAAAATCTCTATATTTGATAGTCTTGAGTTTAGGCTGAGTTTCAAGGAGCAAATAAAAGTAAATGTAATTAAGTATGAATTTGAAAGTTTTGAATGTTTGGAAGTTTATATGTTTAGTATACCATTAATTATAAAAATTATATATGTGCTGTTAATGTATTAATATTTGTGTAAATGGTTTAGGAAATATTTATTTTGCTGTCATTCAGAACTCACTGATTTTTGGCTAGTATCCTTGACCACCCAAATGTAAGGTATGTGCTTTAGTGGAAAAAATTGAGGCTGAGAATTAAGTCTGTCATTAGTGAATATTCTTACTTGGGGCCAATCATTCTTTGGTCTTCCGTTTCGTCATCTGTACAATGAGGGGGCTTGGCAGGTTGATAGCTATTTGCTAATTGACTCTTCCATATATAAAATCTAGTGAATCAGTGAAGTGTGCCTTCTTAGTACTTCTTAACATTTGGTTTCTGGAGGATAGAAATTAGAGATTCCTGTCTTTTTTTTTTTTTGAGACAAAGTCTTGCTCTGTTGCCTGGGCTAGAGTGCCGTGGCATCAGGCTAGCTCACAGCAACCTCAAACTCCAGGGCTCAAGCAATCCTTCTGCCTCAGCCTCCCGAGTAGCTGGGACTACAGGCATGCACCACCATGCCCGGCTAATTTTTTCTGTATATTTTTAGTTGTCCAGTTAATTTCTTTCTATTTTTAGTAGAAACGGGGTCTCACTCTTGCTCAGGGTGGTCTTGAACTCCTGACCTTGAGCGATCCTCCACCTTGGCCTCCCAGAGTGCTCGGATTACAGGTGTGAGCCACCATGCCTGGCCATAAGATATTCCTGTCTTTTATTCTTTGGAATTACTTTTTTTCCATTCTGAAGATATTACAGCTGAGACTTAGTAGTATACAACTTGCTTAAAATGGGTTTCAGTGTAAGTATTAACTTACTGAAATGAAATATCCTTCAGGATCTTCCATTGTTCTGAGATCTGAAATTATTTTTATTTTTCCTGTGCCTTAAGGTTTTATTTGTACAGAAAAAGGTACATTTAAAAATTATAATTTATAATTATTGAAATAGTTTATTTCTCTGCCTTAAAGTAGAACCAGTTCTTAGAGGTAACATTGAAGGGAAAGCACTAAAAGTAGCTCCTTACATTTATACAGCGCTTTGGGGCTTACAGGCACTTATCATAAGATTATCTTTTTTAACCATCACATCAGTCCTGAATAGTAAGTAGGATGGGTGGTTTTATCTCTTTATTTTACAGAAAAAGAAAATGAGACCTCCAAAAGATTAAATCATTTATTCATAGTCCCTTTTCCAGTGAGGTGTAAAACGCACTGGAACTCAGGTCTTCTGACTTCTGACTCCTTTTTGCAATATTAGTAACTCTTCAGATTTAATATAATTTTGGTCTAATAAATGCCAATTTGCTTTGTGTTCATTTTCCAGAATCAAGTTCTTTTCTTTCTCAAAGACATTTTTGACTTCGAGAAGGTGCGCTATTCAAGTATAGAGACTTTGGCTGAAGACCTCATGCAGTTACTCATTCGCCGCACTGAACTTTTAATGGCCTATCTTGGAGCAGATGCCCTGAGGCATACAAGTAGTTGTATAAGTAGTCACGGTCATGTTATGTCCAGTGGGCTGTTGGAAGCCAAAGTGCAATAAGTATCGAGAGAATCATACAATTAGAGTGTGCTATGAAGTATTTTAAGGTAACTATTGATTTTGTATATGTTACAAAATCAACAGAATTGGTGGGTGTGGACTCAGGGAGGAAAAAAAAATCTAGTAAAAAATGAGTGACCATACTGTACTTATACAGAAGTTAGTCTGTCTTTGAATCCCTGTGTGGTGTATCCAGAGTGGCTTTTTACAATCTTTAGGTAATAATTTAATTCGTGAAATGTTGTGATTTTATAGCAATATTGCTTGAATTGAACCCAGTACTTGGGAGTTAATTGATTTGTTGTTTTGAAGCTGTCTGAAATGTTCCGTATCATTCTCAAAAGCTGTTTTTATGCTTTGCACCTTGAAAATACACACTTTAGCCAAGACTTTTGTGGTCCACACGTGCAAGAATATATTACTCCTAGTGTCAACATATTTAACTTTGCCTGAAAATATATTTTTAATTATAAAGTTATTCACTTGTTTATCAAGTTTAGGCAGTAATGGTGTTTAATATGTACTGCTGACATTATTGCTTGTGCATTTGCTTACGTATTTGAATCAAAGACATTGTAATCACTGAGTATTGTTACAAAACATTTAAATGAATTGACATCGAGAAGTTTACAATTTATAACTTTATATTATAATAACTATAGTTTCCAAAATATATCACTGTTGGTCCTATAAGTTACAATAGAGAGAATGAAGAACTTTCTTTTATCTTCTTATAGAGCATTTTTCCCTTGAATGAATACTGATTTAAAAGATAACATTTATTAACTAAGAAAAGCATTTAAGAATTTACCTTTCTTATGTATAATTTTGAGACTTTCTCCCAACATCTGAAGATATTAAACTTGGTACAGTAAAATAATTTCTTTCTCCTACAAAACTGGCTTTTAGTTATTCCCCCAGAGAACTCAGCATACTAAGAATTTGTCATATCCTCATATTTTAAAAATATTTATACTTTGAATCTTAGTGAGGTTTTGCAGAAGGGTTTTTTTCCCCCCTGAATATAGAACAAAAATATTTTTAATGATATGGAAATATTTTCATGTCTGTTATGACAAATACATGAACAAATGGGTTATTATGAGTAAGGTTTTTCTATAGAGTATAATATACTTTTAGAGTTGCATTAATTTTGTTCCTGAATCCATATACCACTTATTTGGAGTGGCTGATTGGGTATATCAATGGTTAGATTTGTTGATTTTGCTTCTAAAATGTGCTTTATTCATTTTAGGAATGAGTTACACAGAAGGACCTAAAATGCATTTTTTACAAGTGCATTTTTAGATTAAAGTGCCTAGTTTCTGATTAATGAATAGAAAATGAAGTGTGAAAAAAACCATAATCTTTTAAGATTTTAAATTTATGTATGTGCCACATTTATGTAAATTAATCACAAAATAGGAAATTCAGAATCTTTATGCTATTTTGCATGTACTGTGTAGGTTATAGCATTAAACATACAAAATATTGCTATAACTGCTTTTGAGTATGTAGCTCCTTGACTTTTTTTACGTAGATTCTTAATTTAATACTTACCTAGTCATTAATTCTTATTATTGATGGAGGAGTATGATTAGAAGTATAAAAACTAAAAATTCCATTATATGTTGTTTTACTTTTTATTTAATATTATGGGTTTTTCCCTTGTTATTGAGGTATCACTGGCCTTCAATGAAGCACACACATACACACGTGTGCGTGTACACAAATTCCCATTACCATGTAGGGAAGACAGTTATTGCTTATATTAATTTACCCATTTGAAGGCTAAGTGTTTTAAGCTGTGGTTTTATAGGCAAAGGTATAAGTAAATGTAATTACTTTTTGGAGAAGGATATTGTTCGAAATCAATTTTGAAGAATTGCACTATTTAATAATGCTGCTGCTACAACTTATGATAATTCCAGGGAATTTATCAGATATGATGAATGACTTCCTAGGAGGTGTCTTTTTTTCTCTTTTACATTTCATGTTTTTAAAAAAAAGTTGCTCATATTGAGGAGGTTGGCTTGTAAATTCAGTGCTTGAGTTTGATGAGTTTCGGGTCTGTTCAATAGCTACTACTTTAGCAAGATGCTTTCTTTGTGGCCTTTCACAAAAGGGAGAAGAGTGACCAAATAGAATTTCAGGGCAATAAGTATAGGAAAAACCTCTCTATTGTAAGAGAAGAAACTTGAACTTTTAAAGGAAACATCTTCCTAAAAAGAATGTTTCTGACTGCAGAAGGGTACTTAAAACATACATACCAGTTTCCACTTGCCTTAAAATTGGGTTAAACAGCAAAAGCAATGTTTTAAAAAATAAAACATAATTAAACTAGTTTAGAGCCTTTTATGGTAAAACCCTGTTTAACACTTAGTAATGGTAGTATTATCATAAAATTGCCATTGCTACCATGAGCCCCACCATCCACTTCCATATGTAAGTTATAAGAGGGCCTTGAATTAGTCCTGAGAAAATGGCTTTTTTTCCTCCTCTTTTCTGGAAGAAAAAAGATAAATGTTCAGGTGATTTATATTTGGTATTTCTTTTTGTATTTTGGTTTCTCTATATTTTTATTCAGCTAAAAGGGTAATTATTTCTTCTTAAAAGTTAACAATATGTTTATTAAATGTCAAAATGGCATTATTTTTTTTAAAAGAAGTTTTCCATACTGTTACAGTAAGCTCCAAAGAACTTTCTTTCTCTTTCTCATCAAGTAATATTCTTTATTTACATCTATTTACTATGATTCTATTAATTTGTTAAATTAACTGTCTTTATAAAAATATTTACAGATGTTTTCTTGCCTTAAGATGTAACATTTTCTAGGTAAATAATTTCCAAAAGAGTGATTATTTGCATTACAAAAGAATCCTTCCTTTGTCATTCTTTTAAGCCTAGAAAATAGGAATGCCAAAGTAACATTTAGTGTACTTCTCTATGACCTTTTATAATCAAAAATTTTAAATTATGTGTATAACCCATTTGATTTTAATGTGGACATGTATTCAGAAATTATTTGATGTAAATTTCAAAGTGATTATAAGAATTAGGCTGAATTCAAATCTTTTGGTTTTTGCTTGGATTAATCAGATTAAGAAATATGTATGTGAGAATTGGCCGGGCACGGTGGCTCACGCCTGTAATCCTAGCTCTCTGGGAGGCCGAGGCGGGCAGATTGTTTGAGCTCAGGAGTTCGAAACCAGCCTAAGCGCAAGAGCGAGACCCCGTCTCTACTAAAATTAGAAAGAAATTAATCAGACAACTAAAAATATATAGAAAAAATTAGCCGGACATGGTGGCGCATGCCTGTAGTCCCAGCTACTTGGGAGGCTGAGGCAGGAGGATCACTTGAGCCCAGGAGTTTGAGGTTGCTGTGAGCTAGGATGACGCCACGGCACTCTAGCCCGGGCAACACAGTAAGACTCTGTCTCAAAAAAAAAAAAAAAAAGAAATATGTATGTGAGAATTAAGAATTTATATACTCTGTGATTAATGGAAATAAGGACATCCTAACTTTGTTCCTAGTGATTATATTACGTTATTGTTTTGTTTAGTTTGAGAACAACCATGTATTAGCTTCACTTGGCCGATATCAGTAAATGTTTCTATTTCCTAAATGTAAGAACCGCACCCATTACTTTGTAGAAAAGTAAAACACTACAGTAGCAGAAAAAAATAGCACTTGGTTCTAGCCAAAATAAGCACTGTAACATGGATGTATTTCTATTACTGCCAAATAAAAAAGTGATGGTACATCTTACTGATGCATGGAATATTTTAAACAAAGTTTATATATAATTGTGAGATCACACCTGTCTCATCCGACCTTACCTTATGAGAGCTTTCAGTGTCCGTAAGACCACATAGGCACAGAGAACACGACAACCATAGAGGCATTGGAATTGAATATAAAAGGTTATCTTTGTGTACTAACATGAGGAAAAAGACAGTTTCGTGACACATAACGTGAAAGTACTTGTGTTTTAATTAAAGTGTTTTGATGAATAATGCCTTTAAGCATGACATCAATTTACCATATTGATGAGCTGAACCTCCCTTCTTGTTCACTTCTTCATTAGGGTTCAGATATATTTAATCAAGGGGAAGGATGCTTCCTGGACACCGCTGTCATCACCACGTGGAAAGGGTTCACCTGGATATAAAAACAGTATTCTTAGTTTGGGACTTAATAAGTTTATTTTAGAATAATTAAATATTATAGACAAATGTATATAATTGTATTTTCAAAATTATTAAACACATAAACTGAAATATATTACTTAATGAGCAGATCATACAAACATGAGTTGAATCTTTTCCTAGGCAGGATGTAGGATGGAATGGAAAATTAGATCAACGTCTTAATCTCATTTTCTGTTTTCTTTGTCATTATTTGCCATACTCTCTGTTGTCTCATGCATCTTCTTTGATCCCACTATCTGAACTTAATGTTTTACACCTTCAGCATCTCTCTGTGAGTTCTTATGTATGTCCTATTGTTGCACTATTTTGTAGAGCTTTTCTGGAAATCTTTGTAAGCACTTACTGTGCTTATGCTGGTTTGACTTCTGTTTTTTCTGCAGTTTCTTCCCATGCCCTGTATGCTCTGATACTTTACCCTGCCACTTCTTCCTCCCTGATCTCTTTCTCTCTTTATGCTACTGACATCTTTGATCAGGTTGCACAAGCTCTTTTCTCTGCTCAAATTTTTTCTTTGGCTTTTCTACATCTGAACAGTGAAAACCCTACAGTAACTTTCATCATCTAGGCACGGAAGGACTAGATTCCAGTACAGAAAAGAAAATTAAAAAAAAAGCAAACCTTCCTTCTATGACACTTTTTTATTCTCTACTTAAAAGCCACAGCAAAGCAACTGGTACATCAAATATCACCTCAACATTTCAACAGTTTACTTTTAACGATCTCATGTGTGTCACAGAAGCCTCTCACAAAGTACATTTATATATAGGAAATTATAGAACTTTTATAATTTGCTATGTTTGAAATGACACCATAGTACTTAAATATAGAGAAGCACTTTGATTTTATAGCACTTAAAATATAGGACTTCCAGAAC